ACCTTCATCACCGAGGAGAGGAGAGGAAACAGATAGAAAAGGATGCTCAGGACAGGCTTCGCTTGAGTAATGTTGTTGATGGCCTGTGCTCCACTGGGAGTTAAAAAGGGCAAGAGAGACAGCTACTTTGAAAATTTAGTATGTCTGATACCTAGTATAATGCCAATATTTTGTTGCATTTGACGTGAAGTAATTTTGTTTGGTCCATAAGTTTTTTTCTTTGTGAATGAATAGTTTTCTACTTTTGTATGTTACCTTGTAGTGGCATAGCCAAGATAACTGCTAAATTCAAGTCTCTGTCTTAATTCTAAGACCCCTATTGCTTTAGAAACATGTTGCTCAACTTCGGAGGCCGTTTTCTCCTTTTCGTGTTTCCTCACGTCGCACAATTAAAAGTTCTGTATTATCATAAAATATGATCATATTTACCTCATTCTAGTTTTAAAGTGTAGGGAAAAGGTGATAGTTTTTGAAAATAATATTAACTCAGTTTTGAAAATTCCTTCAAATGACTGGTATTGACGGGCAGGGACACATAGCTTTTTATCCTGCAGTTGGCTCATTTGTTTGGTGTTTTACCACACGCACATGCTCACACACACATGCACGCACACACACGCACACACACACACACACACACACACACACACACACACACACACACATGCACGCACGCACACACGCCCCCCACACACATACACACACACACACACACAAACACACAGACACACACACAAACACACACTTCCGCGCGCAAGCGGGTACACCCACACGCACGTACTCTCTCACACACTCTCTCTTTCAAATATATCTGAGATAGAAACAAACAGTTGTTGTTAGCGATCAGAATAAGTAAGCTTAATAATTATTAGACAAAATCTGATCAGATGATAGAAAATTGTGGATCTAGCAGATGTTTTGCAATGTGTGGGGAGAGAAATAGAGAATTTAGCTGATGTCCTGTTGCATGATGGGACGGACAGATGATCAGGTTTGTGTAAGTGTGAGTTCAGAGACGGACGGAGCCTTGGACAGGTCAGATGAGGAGAAGAATATACAATATTCTTCTTGCAAGTCAGAGTAACATTTCTATTAAAAAAAAATGAAGAAAAATTTTGTTTTAATTTTTTAGTTCTAATGTTGAAATAAGACGGCAAATGTATTCATACTTTACAGGACAAAAAACAACAACCAAAAAAACAACCAAAAACCCCCCAAAAAACCGGCCAACAAAAACCAACAAAATGGTTTCAACTTAAGATACACTAAAACACCGTAGTTGAAAGAAATGCCAAAATGAATTAGATAATAATATACATGAGCATTTTCCAAGACCGTGAAAATTTTACAACAACAAATAAAACCAGTGGCGAAGGACAGTTTTCAAGCTTCATAGATTATTTTTCGCATTCGGATTGAGAAATGCGTAATAAATCACCATGAACTATAGTATAGCACACGCATACCAGGTTTGGCAGATACCACTATTGTCTTATATTCTAGCCTTATTCTCCTTAACGGGTGATGTACATGATACAAGGAATCTCTAGGGGTTTGAATTTCTTTCAGTTTTTTTCAAGTGATATAAGTTATGTATGGTCTAATCAGAAAAATGATGACGGAATTTTTTTAGTTTATGAAAAAGTTGGCCTCTGGGGCGGCCATTTTGGATTTTTGGTCATGTTGCCCTGGCAGACGTTTTTCGCAGAAAAAATTGGAATTTGAACTGCAAACTTGACACACAAATACACAAACACATTATCTGTTATCATAGGCAAGGATTTTTTTCTAACATGAAAAAAAAAGAAAAATATCCATCTATCACAGGGCGACTCAGATGTTTGTATGTGTAGGACGGACTCTTATTGAGGACCCAAAAGTGACACAGTTTTTCTGGTTGGTCATACACATATATGTGAGGCATGCTGACAAAATGAGTTACTTTTTGCAATCGACAAATGGAGATATTGGCTAAAAATCGACTCTGGGGTCAAATTCGTAGATTGTCTATTGATGCCTAAATTTGTTAAGTATAGCATGCCTTTTGTTATTCTATACTTATAAATAGTAAAAACGTCACCTATAAGCGTGGTGTATCTTTTTTCCAAGGCCTCAAATCCGAGAAGTAACTCATTTCGTCAGCACGCTTCACATATGGCAAAGAGTGATCTAGAGCATGCACATATCATGCCCCCCCCCTCCCCCAATGGACCGATTGTTGGGTGCTTATTCAAGAGACGCTCATGGTGAAAAATGGACAAAGACTCTTCACTCTGACCTGCTCGCAGGATAGACTGTTACATTAGGCCCTAGGTCGCTTGAATATCTCTTTGAAGCGTATGAGATGATTTGTTAAAATGAATGGGGAAAAAGAAACCAAAGACTTCTTCTCTTTTCCGAGAGTCCGATGTCTGATCAGTGGGAGTTTTGCTTTGCTTTGTTTTGTCTAGTTTTGTTTAGTTTCTTCTGTTTGGGTTAGTGTAGTTTAGTTTAATTTAGTTTTGTTTTGTTTGTTTCTTCTGCTTTGTTTTGTTTTAATCTGTTTAGTTTAGTTTTGGTTTGGTTTCATTTAGTTTGGTTCTTTCTACAATGATTGTGTCTTTAGAGAGAACGTATATGTGAGGCAGAGTGGTGGAATCAGGCTCTCGTCAATTTTTGGGCATGTAGAGTTATTGGTGTCATGTTAAAGCTTGTTCGCTTGTCTTTATTTCAATGAAAATGATATCCGTTTATCTTGAGTACAAGTCGAGATATTTGCGAATGAAGGAGGTGGGGTCACGTGTTTTCAG